CCCCCCCCCCCCGCCGACTCCGGTCAAGAACCAAATTCTCAAGACGACGCCTGCACGAATGCTGCGTTGCCTGCCACATACAGCAGCTTCCGGAAGTAGCCACAGCAATGTGAGCTAGGTTGCTGCTGCTGCTACTGCTGCTGCTGCTACTGCTGCTGCTGCTGCTGCTGCTGCTGCTGCTGCTGCTGCTATGCATACACCATCCTGCTTGTCCCTTCAGCATCACGATCGCGGCAACAACATCCGCCCCCCACTCTCACCTCCGCCTCGTGCATGTCCGCCGCTGCAACGGCGGCCTTCTCGGACGAGTCCGGCGCCTCCGGCTCCGCCTCGCGCGGCGGAATCGGCGCCGATTCGGCCGCGGTGGCGGCGGCCGCCGCCGCCGCCGCCAACTTGCGCCCGGCCTTGGTGCGCTCCCCGCCCTGCATGCCGGCCCAGCGCTCCGCCGGCCCCGCCCTCCGCCAGGACGGGGCAGCGGTGACGGTTTCCAGGCGTAGGGAGGCCAGCAGAGGGGTGACGAGGGACAGGGCCTCGCCCGCCGGGGGCGGGGAGGGGTCCGAAAGCGGGGCGAGGAACACGGAGGTCGCGAGTACCGTCGCCGAGAGGAGGGAAGAACCCGGTCCCGTCTGGCGGGGGGGGAGGGGGGTACTCATGGTTAGTACTTACGCCTTTGAGCGGTTACACCATTGATCACGCGTCCGCGAGAGGACGGAGCGGGGACGAGGTCAGGAACGTGGTAGAGCAGAATCGTCATCGTCAAACGGGGCAGTGGGTGATGTTTTGTACGGTGTATCTACTCTAGTCTGGTGGCGGGGGGGGGGGCGATCCTGAACGTAGAGAAGTATCATCATCGTGAAAACGGCGCAGGGGGGGTGATTTCCTGTGCGTTATCTACTCGCTGCTGGCATTCCATATCTGCCTTTGAGAGGGTTCTTTTTTTTTTTTGTCGTGGAGAAGGGGATTTAACAAAGTGTTCTTCGCTAGGCGTACTTACTGCCATCATCGTATCGTTGTCCGTCAACAAACACCGGCGTGGCCGTCCCGATACGGTTGGCGCTGTTGCCATTGCTGCCTTCACTTCACGCCGAAACCTGTTCGTGGTCGGTACGCAAGACCCTCTTCGTCCCCACTCTTCAAAAAGACGACGGGGCCCACTTAATCTTCGTCGTCGATAGCGCGCGCTACAGTACGCAAAAGCAAAACAAAATACAAACAATGAAGACCTATCAGAGCCAAAAAGAACGATCAAGAAAACTCCCGCTGTTGTACGTACATGGAGAATTAATTACCTGCGGCATGCCTCGCCACTGCTGCGTGAGTGTCAAGTCCGCGTGGGCCACCACGGCGGGGCCCCCTCCGCCTCTGCCTCCACCGCCGCCGGCATGGGCGTAGCAGTCCCACTGCGACTCCGGCAAGCAGATGTACGCGTTTACCAGCACCACCTCCACGTCGGTGTTGTTAGGCCGAACCTCCACGTATCTGTTTGTTGGTAATTGGCGTTTTTATTGTTATTAGTTGCCGGTTTTTGGTTGAATGTGTGTGTGTGAAGAGGAAACGTGCGGTGAAATCCCGCCCGCCCGCCCGCCCCGCAGCATCTGATGCAAGACCAATCTACTGCACACCGCCAAAAAAAGATGCTGACCAACGGCAGAGGCCAGGCGCACGGAGGGCAACGCTACAGGCATTCTACCCCGCCCACAACAAACTCAGCGTCCTCTCACGTCGGCTCGGCTACTATTTGGAACGTCTGGTCACTGACACACATACCCGGCACTCCACAGCCCCAAAAACTAGCAAACATAAACCACCTAGTCCACAACCAGAGAAACGTGGCAGTGCTGGTCTGTAGGAGTAAACTACCGTGTATATTTATCCCACATCGAAAAACATTTTGGACGACGACACACCTGTGGGGCCGGAGCATCCGGTCTCGCTCGCGGAACTCCTGGACCGGTTCCAAGAAGAAGCTCTTCAGGCCCGACAGCCCCCTGGCGAGGGCGACCACCCGGACGTCGGACAGGAAGACCGAACACCGCTTGTAGTCCGTCGCCATGCGCATGTCGTACCAGACGTGCGGCTCGAAGCCGACCCTGGGGTCCGGGCCGTTGTACCCGAACCCCCACCCGGGGTGCCTCGATTCTCGTCCGCCGCCCCCCCCCCCCCAGACGAGGGG